CCCCCCCAGCCATCCAAGGAGGATGCTGGACCGGGAATCTCTCCTTCTCCATTGCTGACCCTCCATTCTACACTGGCCAATCTTCTCTAGATGAGTGACGTTCCACAATCCCCCTCATCCCGGGTCTTCTGCCCACTCTCACTGACTTGGAAGTCTCTCATCTCAAAAGTCCTAGCACTAGGCCAGAAGACTCCTCAGCCATTTGATTATGGGTCCTTCTGGATTGGGGATGCCCAGTCCAGAGGGTCACCTCTCATTTCTCATTATGATTTGTTTAGCAGCAGGGACGCCTGTCCTAAACAGTCACCTTTGGATTTGTGGTCTGTCACTCACCCTTCCTCTCCCATGGGCCACGCCACACTCCCTCTGTACACTCACAGGGGAGATCATGCCCAATCACCTCACTTTATTTTATAACACTGTTTGGCCACAACATAAACTAGATAATAAGTCTCAATGGCCTGAAAACAGCACTTTCAATTTTAACATACTGAGCAATTTAGATAATTGCTGTCACTGCAATGGAAAATGGTCAGAGATTCCCTACGTCCAGGCCTTTTTCACCCTTCAGTCCCAATCCTCTCTCTCAGTCCTGCTCTATCCATCAGATATTTCTCCTTCACACAAAACATCTTACACCTAACACTTCCGATTCTGAATCTACTTTTGACCCAGCAGACCAATGACCTCCACCCCCTTATACATCCCTTCCCTCACCTGCAGTAGATTCTCCAAACCCAGACCTTCCTAACCAGCAACCACCTTTTCCACCAGTCTGAGAGCCCAAATCCTGAGAACATGAGCTCTAAAACAGCCTTTTCCCATCTAACACTTGTTCTCAGGCCACCCAAAGACTACCTTCAACAGCCTCTTCAATTCCCATGCCAATTCCACTCCTGAGGGAGGCAGCAGGAACTGAGGGCATTGTCTGAGTCCATGTCCCATTCTCTATGTCCAACCTCACACAGATTGAGAGGCATCTCAGATCTTTTTCCACTGACCTGATCACCTTTACTAAGGAATTTGACAAACTTAATGAAATCACTCAAGGCCCTGATGAAAACCCAGCTCTCCTCCTCTCCCGCCTCAAAGAGGCCTTACAGAAATTGACCACCCTAGACCCCGACTCCCCAGAGGGAGCCCTTCTTCTTAACACCCATTTTATATCCTAACCAGCCCCCACCATACGTCACAGACTTTGAAATATAGACACAGGTCCACAAACCCCTCAAAAAGACCTCGTTAACCTGACCTTTAAGGTTTTTAATAATAGAGATCAGGAGACCCAAATCCAAAAAACAAAGGTGAGATCAGGCCAAGGCTGAGACCCAGAAAGAAGCCTTCCAGCTCCTAGCCACCACTCTCATGAACCCCAAACAAAGTGCTGGTCCTCCAACCAAGGGTAAGTCAGGGGCTAAGCCTCCTCCAGGCCCATGATTCAAATGCAACAAGGAAGGACACTGAGCCAAGTCCTTCTCAAAACAAAACCCCAGCCTGGGCCCTGCCCAAGGTGTGGAAGGGAAGACCACTAGAAATCAGACTGCAGTCTGGCCCCTCCAGTCTGACCTCAGCCAGTCCAGCAAGGCCACCCTCTGGATCTGGTTTGGAGCTCCCAGACCTCCTGGGACTGGCTACTGAAGAAGCTGCCCAGGTCCTGACAGGGCCCCACAGACTTACACCACCAGAACAGAGCCTTGGGTAACGACTGTGGTGGCAAGTAAGGTGATCTCTTTTTTTTTTTTTAATTAATAAATCTTTTATTGTTCAGATTATTACAGATGTTCCTCTTTTTTCCACCATATCTCCCCTCCACCAGGTTCCCACCCCACCCCATGCCCTTACCCCCTACCACTGTCCTCATCCATAGGTGTAAGATTTTTGTCCAGTCTCTTCCCACACCCCCCACACCTCCTTCCCCCCAAGAATTATCAGTCCATTCCCTTTCTATGCCCCTGCTTCTATTTTTTTTTAACCTAAAACATTTTAAAACTTGAGCATAACATTTCAAGAACAAAAAGTGTTTTAAGTCCCAATTTCAATGTCCAAGAGTTCTGAGTCCAAGTTTCAATGTCCGACAGTTCCTTATGTGTAGGTGTCAGCAATGATATTTCAGTTCTGGATGGTGGACAAATGGTGGCAATGCAGGTCCGACCCTCTCTGGTTTGATCCTGGGCAACCTGCAGCGACGCACAGCTGCTGACTGCTAGCATGGCAAAGTGACGTCAGCGTCCTTCATCTCTGGATTGTTTTTCCTCTTGTCTTCATGGCTGGAGCATTCCTGATAATTCCTCTCTGTTGCAGGAATCCACATGGTCTTGGAGTTGTTTTCTGAAAATATACAAACATATTCTCGACCGAAGGTTAATAAAGGGAATTTTACTTGGGGTCTTTTTTATATTTGCCCAAATGATTTTCCTTTGGCTTATTTTGACACCATGTGTGTTTTCCTGGGTGTCTTGCTGTTAGCATAAATGAAAAAATTTTTCTAGATGTAATTTAGTTACAGGATATTTTTCCTTACATGGTATTTTTCCACTATCCCCCCTTTTTTTGATTTAATTATTAGGAGGATTTTTTGGAAAAGTTACAATGCAGTCTAGGTAACTCTAAATTTTTTTAATTTTTTTGCACAAAAATATGACTGCTTTAGGATCATTGCATGTTAAGCAAATTTACCATGAAATGAAAATTTTGGTTAATACTTCTTGAGCCAATTTTAATCTGAAAACCTGACTGCTATTTTACTGTCAAATTTAATACTTTAAAAACAATCTTAGTTTACACTGTAAATATTAATGGAAAGGATTATTTTTGCATCCTTGAGAAGGCCCTGAGCATTCCTGGTGTTAGGCTGGATGTAGATATAGGGTAGCTGTTGTCAGCCAAGTCTCTGTTTTCTGGGTACCGATCTCAGCTGGGCCAAGTCTCTTTTTGTTACCTGGGTCCCGATCTGGGCTGGGCATGGGAAGCAAGAAGCAGCCATGGGGGCAGGAGACCTCCCTCAGAAGGGGCAAGTGTTCAAGCCCCTGCATGGTTGGGGGGGTGAGGATCTGTGTCCCACCTCTGTAGACCCCCAAGTTCTCGTCTGCTGGCCCCTTTGCGACTGTGCCTGTCTTAGGTTGTTCCTCCCAGAGGAATCTTACCCGTCTTTGACTAACCAGCCATCCTCCGGGGCCAAGCAGGGTGATGTGAGGTACAGTTCTGTCTCCTTGGTAGCCTATGCCCCTGTGGCCTCCACGCCCAGCAATTGCCTTGGGATCCCCTCGCCTGCTGGCAGGGCCCCGGCGTTGCACATATCTTGGGGAACCCAGGTTTCTTCTCCAGGGAGGGCCCAGCTCATGCCATTGGGCGAGAGACAGATCCACGGCACCAGTCACCACGAGGCTTCAACCTCAGCATGAACAGAGAGCTCAGGCAACAGCTGTGGGCAATTGGATTGTAAGAAGAGGGACCCTCTTGGCAAAAAGAGCAAGAGAGGTCAATACAGAATGCTCAAGTGCCTTCTCAGGGAGGCCTTCCACACAGTGGAAGGGATTTTTTTTTATTCTTTTTAAAAAAATATTATAATAAGT